CCTCCTACAAAGCTTCTGTCTGGTAACCCTGCCTTCAGTTTTACTTTTACTTTTTCTGTTGTTTTTCACTTTTACTTTTTCTCATGTTTCCCGTTGTTTCACCGGTAGGTGTGTGTGTGTGTATATATACACACACACATATATACACACACACATATACATACACACACATATAGCATATATGTATATCATGCTGTTTTATATATATATTATATGGTGGGGGTATATGCTTAGGAATGTTTTAGTTATCCTCTTCATTTCCTGGGAACTGTGGTTTACCTGAGGTTAACTGCTGCTGTGTGTGTTCCAGATCGAGCTTCAAACAGGCTGTGGAAGCCTTGCCTCAGCTCTCAAGTGGAGCAGATAAAAAGTAAGTTCTGCCTGTTGTTTTCTTGGTCAGTCTGTGCTGAGAAAGATTTTGTTACTTGACCGTCCTCCCGGCACGCACCACGTTACCTGCACCGTGCACGTCTCCCGGGTGTCCGAAGAAGGCAAGGCACTTCCTCTGGGTTTAGGATCGTTTAAAAGCGAACTCTTTTCTTACATGTGACACGTACAGAAAATGCCAGAAGAAAGCTTATTTTGACTCATTCAGTAAACTACGTTGTTGGCTTATGTTATTTAAGAAGCTAATGTAAGAGGGCCTCATCGTTAAATATAGGATCCCGATTTATTTTTTCTTTTTGACTAACTTAGTGATGGAAAACTGAAGTATCAAGACAGAGTAAATGTGTCCATGTGGCATAATAAAATTGTGTGCATCGCATTACAGCCACATCAGTGATCTCAGCCTAAGTTTAAACTTGACCACTTTCGTAACAGGAAATTCTGACCCGAGAGTAAATCTAGGCCAGACCCATTTCACAGATGCCCAGCTATCCTCAGCTGAGGCAGCGGAAACCCTGTCGACCTTTCCCTCTTTACCAGCTGTAGCTGAAGTCCGTCTTTGCCTGTGGCTGATCAGTCCACAAGTGAAACTCACAGGGGAATGTTGTGGAAACTCAGAAGACAGAGACAGCATGTGTGCTTGGCCGTGGGAGGAGAATGTCACCTTGGATCGAGGCTCTGGGTGGCCAGCTCTGCCGCCTGTCATCCTGCCCAGTGTCATCCCTATTCCAGGGCATGTGCCCTGCATGAGCAGGTGGATGGCTGCTCATATCCCATTTTCTTCTCTTCTATTTCCTTCTCTCGCTGTACTTTTCATACTTTGTCTGAATTGGTTCTTAGCCCTGTTTATGTCTTCAAACTAAATATGATAACAGATTAAAGCAGTCATCGCTCTTCCTAATATGGTGAACCTGGCTCAAAAGGCTACTGTGTTTGGGAGTCAACCACAGATACCCTGACATAGTTCCAGGTCAGGATCGTACTTTAGATTTACTGATGGGATAATGTTCTATTATTTTTGCATCATAGAGCCATAAGATCATCTCTTCATCTCAGTACTGCTGAGCCATTCTTGATTGCTTCATATGAACCAGACAAGCTATAAGATCCCTTCAGGCTTTAAGATTATATTAATATGAGGGGCCAGCAGGTGATATGGTGGTCAAGACACTAAACTCCCACATGGCTGACCATGGTTTAAGTCTCGGACCTGGTGGCTTGCTCTCTTTCTTTCTCTCTCTCTCTGTTAAATAATAATAATAATTAAATTTATATATTTTTCTTTTTTTTGGAGAGGTTTTTGCTATAGGGCGCGTGCGCTCGCCAGACAGACAGACAGAAACAGAGAGACAGAGAGCGAGAAATCACCCCCTGGGGGGATGGCCACGCCACAATCCCTTCTCCTCCATTCTCCTCTCGGGATCTTGGGCACGCACACGCACACGCACCTGGCGTGAGTTTCAAGCCACCGGGTCCGAGACACGAACCGCGGTCAACTACGTGGGAGTCCAGCGACATAGCCATTATGCTAACTGCTGGTCCCCTAAATTTTCTTTTTTTAAAGATTGTATTAATATGACTATATCAGACCATTTGAAGAAACAAATTGAGGTATCATGTAGCCAAAGGCTTTGCCTAGTGGAGTTAGAACAGACTCTGCTTTCTCTGGGGCTGAGCTCTCCACAGGGGCTGAGCTCTCCACCTGTGCTCACCACGTTCCAATGTTTGTTAAAGACAAAATGCGAAATCAGAGGAACAGAAAACATCCAATGGTTGCTGGGGGGTAGGGTTAGAGGGAGAAGTCAACTAAGAAGGGACAGCGTAAGTGCATTTGGGAGTGATGGAGCTGTTCTGCTTCCTGTTGGTGGGGAGTTGTCACATTACGACATCTGCATAGATGTAAAATAAAAAGAGTGTTTGAGAATTCTTTTAAGTGATTTTTTAAAAAATAGGCCTGAATGTTAGTCTGTTTCAATGAGATATTTAATTAATCTAGGAGGGAGGATAAACGGGATTTTTATACATAAACATAAATAGGTATATGCTTTTTCAAAAGTTCTTGGAAAATGGCATTCAAGTATGAGTTTAGTTTGATGCAGAAAGTTTAAAGTCCATGCATATTATTTTCATGTTCCATGAACTTTTTCAAAGACCCCTTATAAATAGATCCTTTCAACTGGGTTCAGTTGACTAATTTCTGTTCTTACAAATCTACAGACAGTAGCCTTTTCAAATGCCTTCTGAAATCAGCCAGCACAAAGCAGAGCAGGGTGCTTACTGCACTGTGTCCCCAATATGTTGCTAGGCCACCCCATTCTGCCAGGCTGTAAAACCTGTCTCCTCTCTGCAGGTTACTGGAAGAGCTTCTGAACAAGTTCAAAAGCAGCATGCACTTGCAGCTCACCTGCTTCCAGTCAACTTCTTCAACCATGATGAAAACATAAGTACCTGCAAAGCAAGGGCAGTCCATAAACTTAGCAAGGAATAAAATGATTCACTTTCCTAAGCACCCTAAAGGACTTCAGTATACAAAACATTGGGTTTGCCATTTCTCTTTTTCATTTTTTTTTTAACCAATTTGGTAGCTTAGAAAGATGTTGGTATATGTTTTCTTTCAACCAAAATAACCTTATTTAAAATGCCTATGTATTTGTTTTGCCATTTTTATCAGATTAGGTCCTGTTTGACTGTTTACAATCTCTTTTGAAACCTACTCGTTTTTCTTCGGTAAAGGTTGCATGGTATATGCTGCATCCTTCAGAAAGTGTTTTCAGATGACAGGTGTGTTCGAATGCATTTCCCTTTGGCTCATTTACTAGACCTTTGATGTCAGTGGCTTCCAAGAAACATGGGGAGATTGAAAAGAGATCTGGAAAGTTAGAGTTAGATATCTTTGGAGCTTCAGTTTTCCTGTACTGTACATGTATACTTAAAAACCTTATTTCATACAAACAGCCGAAGTCTCCTGATTCAAGTGGTTGTTTAGAAAAATTTGTGAGCCTGCGTTTAAGAAAAATAGATGATTTGTGGTCCACGTGTCTATGAATGAACTTTGCATTTTGCTGTCTTTTATTTCTCACAGTGCTAAATTTAAACCCCTGTTCATTGTAGTTTTTTGGTTCTCAGTCAGTCTTAATTGGATGCCTGTCACTGTACAAAAGCTTGTTCCTGGTCTCTGAGGTCATGTATGTTACCTGCGATTGAGGACAGGTGCCGGATATCATGTTGTGCTCACTAGCACCATCCAGCAGCCTCAGTCTTCGGTGTCCCCTAAAAAGCAGTGCAGGCCATAGGGACGCTGCACCCCTGCTTTCTGCAAGCTGCTCCGTCCTCCCCAGCAGCTTATTTCCTTACCCTTCAAAATAGCTTGCTCAGTGGCTGAAAGAATGCTGCTCTGGCATGGTGCGTGTTTTCTGAAGCTTCAAGAGGCTCTTCAGCCACCAGGCAGTGGGAGCTGTAGATCAGCCAAGTACGTTTGCCCTACATTCACTGCTGAAGGCTTTACTGGAAGAGTTCAGGTCACCGTGACCTCAGCTTCCCTCACCTCACTCCTCCTAACTCCATCATAACTCTCTACTTATAGTCTACTTTCAGAATTTTCTTTGAAAATCCTTAATTAGTTGAAATTAATGACTTTTAATACAAGGCATTTTAGAGTATAGGATAGCCCTTGAAATAAGTAAATGTTGTTGCTCATTCATTTGTTTTATTGGGAGGGGGATCGGAGTAACTGGAAATACACAGAATATTGTCTCTCTTGAGTGTGTTAACCATTGTTTCCACCATAACTGTGAGCTAAATTACAAAACTGCCGTTCCGAATGTGTGTTATTTTAAATAAATACCTGGTACAGTGCATTTAGCCAATAAAGAATCTGTCCTTAACTTAGGAAGTACTTCCGTTGATATTTTTCCAAAGTATCTTTACATTCACTGTATACCTTTTTGTTTTTGTTCGTTTTGTTTTGTTTGTTTTAGAGAGGTTTTTGCTATAGGGGGAGAGACAGAGAGAAATTGAGAAATTACCCCCAGGGAAGATTATCACACCTCCATTCTCCTCTCGGAATTTTGAGTACACATGCACATGTGTCAGCATGAGGTTTAAGCCACCAGGTCTGAGACTCAAACCGCCGTCGACTACATGGGAATCCAATGACAGCATTACTCCATCTGCTGGTCCTTATGTCCACTTTTAATACTCAGAATAAATAGTTAAATTCTTGTTTGCCTGTATTAGTTGAATTATTGTCAGAAAGCTCTTAGAGATGTCATGCCTATTTTTTTCTTTTGGGGGGGGCTTACCATGTGCTAGGTTTTGCATAAAATTACCTCATTTAATCTACACAGCAGCCTTACAACTGTCACATGGTGTTGGTGGTATGTCCATTTCAAAGATGAGGAATTGAGGGCTTAGAGAAAAGTTGGTGTCGTCTCCAAGACTGCAAAGCTGGCAAGTTGCAGGACCCAGGTTCATACTCGGCAGTAGTCTGGCTTCATGTCTCATTAACTTTGCCGCCACCTCGTTCTTCCTCCCAGCTGTACAGGTTTCTACCATCCAGACACCAAGTGCGCGGCTCAAGGAAAGCACATACGTGCCAGCGGCTGCTAAGTCTTAGTAACATAAGAAGTAGTCAGTGCATTGCAGGCTCAGAGAATGGAAGGTAGATGCATAAAAACTCCACATCCAAGGCAGGGGGTTTAAGGACGACTATTCCAACCAGTCAAGAGGAACTTCTTGGAAGAAAGGGGATTTCATGAACCACTCAAGTTACAGAACGATGAATTTAGTGGTTAAGAAGAAATGGATGAGTGTGACGTAAGTTAGAAGAAAACCGAGAGGTAAACCAGGTCTTGGATCAGCTTTAACCAAGAAGCACCTAAAAAGGGTTAAAGTACTTCACCGTCAGATAGTATTTTGGATTTAACAGATTGACATCTATGCGAGTTAACATGACTTCCGTGAGTTAGCTAAGTTGGCATCACTTCAAATGCTAAAAAATTATGATAAGTAATTTGGTTTTACTAAGACTTTCTATATCAGTGTACCACGAAAGTGGCATGTTCTAGAAATGATTTGAGCATTGCAAAACAGGCTTCATTGGCATAGACACAGCTCGCTGACTCATTCTCCTGTCTTTGTCATCCTTGCATGCAGTTTTCTTAAGGGATTGGTTAGAAAAGACGACACTTTAATTCTGGATTTGGTACAAGGTAGTGATATTTTTCTGCTGTGGTAGATTCTGCTATTTGCATAAGAGTGTTGTAATGTGTTTTCTTAATACTTAACAAAATATGGGACCAGCCAATGGTATAAAGATTATGCAACTGGACTCCCACGTAGCCAACCATGGTTCAAGTCCTGGACCTGGTGGCTTAAAACTTATGCTTGGTGTGTGTGCGTGCGTGCCCAAAATCCCAAGAGAAGAATGGAGGAGAAGGGATTGCGGCATGGCCATCCCCGCTAAGGGGTGATTTCTCACTTTCTCTTTCTCTGGTGAGTGCATATACCCTATCTGAAAAATCTCTTAAAAAAAAAAAAAACTTAAAAATTTCAACTAATTTTTAAATCAAGATTCTGTTTCTGAAATAAATAGAGCCAACCATATTTTATTTAATAAGTGCAAAATAATGCCACATAACTATATACTAAAAATTGCATGTATTGTTCTCATTAAACATTTATCGGCATTATTGCAGTTTTCATGTGGAAGGCTGAACAGTGACACGCTGATAAAACATGACACTAAGGCTGATCCACATGAGAAGAATCGAGGTTCCTTCACATGATCTGGGCTAACTGAGGCTGGGAATGGATCATGGCATTGAGACCATATTGGGGTGCTGTCTCTTTCTCTCTCACTTTTTCTTGCTTATGGAAGAAATAAATAAACTTTAAAAAAAAAAAAAATTATTGTCATACGGATTTATGAACTGCCCTGAAAAATCTAAAAGATATAGTGAACATTTGATATTATACCTCAATTATAGCAGCAGCTATAATGATTATGCATATCGCTGTGTTAGGATCATCACTCATTCTGTTTGCTGACCTCATTTCTACTCGCCTACATTTTTTTTTACTGAGTTTTATTGTAGGTGAAAAGCCTTTTTGTCCTTAGCCAAGTAATAGATACATAAGAATAAATTGCAGTTTGGCTGATAAAATCCAGGAGAATGTCAGAATGTCTTTCCCCTGTCAAAGCACACAATCTTCTAGACAAGGCGTGAGCACTCAAGCAGATCTTTGTCTTCCTCAGCGTTTAACCACGAGTGCCATCTCACTGGTTTTGTTGTGACTATTCCCATGGTTACTGTTATCTCTTCACTTTTTTTTTTTTAATATTCCTGTCTCATCTGCCTACAAACCCACCTGCTAGCCACAAATCCCTGAGAACTAAGACCACTACCTGAACTCATCTCAAGGAAAGCCTACAGAAGGATTCATAATAGGGGTAGGAGGAAAACCAGGGGAAAAAATGAAATCAAGAGGTTTCAAAAATCAAGAGAAAAGAAAGAATTACCATAAGAATAAAGAAGATCTTGGCAAGGTCAAAGCATGCTGATAAGTCAGAGATGTGAGGGCTGAGAAATGGTCACTACGCTTGGCATTTAGGAAACCGTGAATGACGTAGAGAATGACAAGGATCGAATCAGAAATACTTAGTACCGTGGACTCATCCACTTAACTCAGTACGACCCTACAGAGAGCTGCCTCTTCTTCAAAGATCACAAGGCATCTTGACCTCCAAGACCGAGTTGAACTGTTCTTTATGGGTATCACTTCAGCCTCCTTCATTCATCCCTTTTCTTCTTCAAGTGCCCCATCAATTCCTGAATCCTAGAATATTTATATGCAGCCCTTTCTTTTCTCCAGAGGCTTACTGACCCTTCCTTGAATGACAGGGGCTTCTAAAACCAAGCCTGTCCTGTGCAGGTATAGATGTCAGGTAGACTCGGGGTTATTTTCTGTTCTAGTCGTTTCCTGTTCCTTGCGCTCAGTTGCCCCATAACTCTGTGTGCTGCATAAAGGAATCCACAGGCTGCCCCTAGCAGCTACTAGTGGAATGGGATGGCAGGTCCTAGGCAAGTAGCTGGGGTAGCAGATGACCCCTCAGAAACATGTCTGTTAAATGCTATTAATGCAATTAGGTTAGCAAGTCTACGAAATGATCTTTTTATATTTTTACATTAAAAACAGAAAGAATCAAATGGTTCCACAGAGTTGGATGGATAAAGAACAGTTCCTCAGGGCATCAGGTAGCATGGTGGTTAAGGCACTGGACTCCCACATGACCGACCATAGTTTGAGTCCTGGACCTGATGCCTTGAAAACCATGCCGGGCACATGCATGTGTGCCCAAGATCCCAGGAGGACAAGGGATTGCAGCATGGCCATCTCCCTGAGGGGTGATTCCTCACTTTCCTTCCTGCTTCCCTCTCTCCCTCTCCAGTGAATGCACATGCTTTATGACAAAAATCTAAAAGACAAAATAAAACAAAAAACACAGCTCCTCTATACCTCTCTGCATTTCTCCTGTTCCCTAAAGCCATCCACTTTCAGTTTTTCAGCTTCTTTGGTTCTTTTGATACTTACCTCAATGTGCCTACCTTAACTGATTCATATTGCTACTTCTTAATTTTTTGCTTTGGGGTATTATGGTCTTCCTATAATAAAATGTGAGAGTTAGCTGTCTTCTCTTTCATCACCTCTACCTCCCCCCTGGCTCTCTCTCTCTCTTTCTCTCTCTCTCTCTCTCTCTCTCTCACACACACACACACAAGTTCCCCTAACCCTTTCTCCCAGTGCATCCCTTTGGCTAGGTCAGTAATCAGTGCCCAAATCATTAGACCTGTGTGTATACCATTTAGTGCTAAGCCCGTAATGGACTTTGGTACTGTTCCTACTGTATTTTTGTATTTTTTATGTATTCTTCATTTTTCACTCATCTGCAAACTCCCTCTGTCCAAGTTGTACAGAAGTCCTTGCAATAAATCAGACACATAACATGTTTTATCAGATTCATCTAGAACAACTTACCACAGCTTTGTAGCCTGAACCAGTGTAACTGGTGCTCACTGGACCAGCCTCACACTTAGGAGTTCTTAGGTAATCATCAACCTGGGATTTCCCTTTACCTGTGTGGGATCAACCACTTCTGTATACCATGTCTTCCTTATCCTTCGTTTTCTCTTTCATATGGTGAGTTCTAGCTCAGCCTTTGGTAACTTCCTAAGAAAAGAGTATATGGGAGGTATATTAATTTTTTAAAAAATTTTAAAGAGTTACTTATTTAATTTTATTTATTATTTTGATTTGCTATAGGGCATATGCACTCACTAGTGACAGAAAGGGGTGGGGGGGTGGGGTGTGAGAAAGCAAGCTGCCATGTCCAGAACTTGAACCACAGTCAGTCATGTTGGGAATCCAACACCATAAGCACCAAGCCACCTGCTAGCTCTAGGAGGTACATATTTTTGAGACCTTGAATATCTTAAAGAAAAAAAAAAAAAACATCCTTAGTTGAGTATGGGATTCTAGGTTGGAAATAATTTTCACTCAGAATCCTGAAGCTTCAGGAGCCAGCAGTTAGCGTAATGGCTATGTCGCTGGACTCTCACGTAGTCGACCGCGGTTCACATCCCAGACCCAGTTGCTTAGAACTCACGCCGGGCG